AAACCCAATTCTTAAGCAATCTACTAACCGGTAGCAATTCTGGTGTGTGCTTTTTGACATTTGCATTGCCCTCTTAACATCCTCGCTAGGCGAGCTCCCTTTTAGAACTCCTTTTATGTGGGGCCTGTGGTGAGAAACTGGGGTGCAGTGGGGGGGAGGCAACCCGGGGTTTGGCATGCCGTGTGTGCATGGGGTGGGGGGGGGACACACTCCCCTCCCCAAGGGCTCCAACATGCAGATCTTAACTAACTTCTCGGGCTTTTCTAGGATGACTTTAAGAGAGAGCTATCTGTCCTGGGTAAGCCTCCGCGCAGCCCAGGGACGGCTAGGAGGCCCTGTGGCTCACCTGTCCGAGCGCTCAGCAGTTCCCACAGGGTAGGGTCGGAACCCTCCCTCCCCGCTTGGCACACTTCCTAGGCCTGCTCCTCTCAGCGGGTGGCTCTTCCTGGGGGCTGCCGTGCCCTAGCCCACAGGAGCCATGACGGCAGCTCCGCTCCCCCCTCTTATCCTCAGTCTTTGGCCAACGGGCGTCCTCCCTCTTCTGTGTGAGTGAGGTCTCCCGGATCCAAAGACATGGCCAACTTCTGCACTAAGGCAGAACGGTGTGCGTGACCCTGGGCTCTGGACATTGCTGCTCGCTAGCCACTTGGTTTTAAAGCGAAGAACACAACCTTCGCCAATCACATTACTGAGTTCACAGCGCTTCCAGCAATGTCCTGTTTGCTTCTGTGTCATTCCGTTTATTTCATTTGAAACGCCCAACCCATGTTTCAAAATGCCAGGTAGCTCTGCTGATGGGTGTTAGGTTCACCTGACACCCCAGCCCCACCCAGGCCCCAGCCTGTGGCTCCTGACTGCACCCTGCAGGTCAAGGTAGCCTGGATGCAGCCATACGCTGCCTCTAGCCACCGCAGGCCGCACAGCCACAGCCCTTTACACGAACGGATCCTGAGTAGTCGTGACCGTCTGAGGAATGCAGCCAAAGGCCTTGGGGATTCTCATCTCAGCCTAAGTCATAGGTTCTCAGCCTTCCTCATGCAGCGACCCTTTCATACAGTTCCTCATGTTGTGGTGACCCCCCCCAATCATAAAATTATTTTCGTTGCTACTTCATAACTGCAATGTTGCTACTTATGAATCATTGTGTAAATATCTGATATGCAGGATGTATTTTTTTTAATCATTTTATTGGGGGCTCATACAACTCTTATCACAATCCATACATATATCAATTGTATAAAGCACATTTGTACATTCATTACCCTCATCATTCTCACATTTGCTCTCAAAAAAAATAATAAAATGTGCTCTCCACGTACGTAAGCCCTTGGCATCAGCTCCTCATTTTCCCTCTCCCTCCCCGCTCCCACCTCCCTCATGAACCCTTGATAATTTATAAATTATTATTTTGTTATATCATACACCGTCCGACGTCTCCCTT